GAAGTGGATTTTCAGAAGAATGAAAGTGGCCAGCTTTATTTTTTACTCTTCTCTCTCTACTATTTTTTTAAGGAACAAATATTACATTACAGTAACCTAAAATTAATTTTTAAATTAATTAGAAAAAAACCCTGAGTTCAGTTTGGTAGGTATTTACTGAGGACTACACAAATGTTGAACTTCCTTTCCATATTCCTATACGGCATTTTAAGTAGAAGAATGAAACACAGTTCTCTGCCCCTGAGCTCACGCAGTGGTAGGAATATACTTTTAGACGAATACCTACAAGGAAATGCACCCGTCCTCTAACAGCATGTGCACTGAGAGAGCAATGAATTCCACCAGGGAGGGGTCAGGAAAAGGGCAAAAAGAGAATGACGATCACGCTCAGGTGCGTCTCACTGCAGGCGGTCTACCCGCAATAACATGCATGACTGAAGCATCGTGCTGTACGCCAGAAACTGACACAACACTGTACACTGACTGCACTTCAGTGAAAACATTACAAAAAAAGAGAGCAAGGCATGTATGTGACCCCATTTGTGACTGTGTCTCGGCGTACGCACTTACACATGCAGTACGAACAAGGAAGTCTGGGAGGACCCCAAACCAAAGTCAGTGGGAGAAGATGACTTTACACCCTCGAACCTCTGAATAATTTCACAATTTAAGTCTCCAAAAAGAAACATCTTATAAAAAAAGAAAATCTTATAAAAAGAAAGTCTTATAAACTTTGGGGTTAGATAGAAGCAGGTTCAAACACCAACTGTGACTTGGGGCAAGCTACTTCACGTTGGATTTCTTATCTGATAAGTAGAGAAACCACAGTCTGCTAATTCAGGGGGGTTACAGAATTAAATGAGACAACAAGTACACCACTCCCAGCACAGCACTCCCTCCCTTCCCCTATGTAGAAGCACGGAAGCAAAATTGAGAGTGGGTGGTAATGAGAAACACAACAGGAATTCAGAGAAGAAAAAGATCACAGAAGATCAGAGGACCTACGAGAAATGTAAAGAAAAGGCGAAGACCCGAGCTGAGCTTGAAAAAAGAAAAGCAGGATATTAGTAACAGAGAGTTGGGCTTGGCGGGAGGTATTACCACAATAAAATAAATAATGAGAACACACACACAGAGGAAGAACAAAGGGGTAAATGTGCCCCAGCGCCGACCACAAAGTGCAGGCACAATCAACATCCTTTACATCGATGAAAAAGGTGCATGTTAGGGAACAGAAAACAACCAGGCTGTGTAGGTGAATGGGCACATACTTTAGAGATCCCTGAAATCAAAACAGAGATTAGATCTTATGCAGTTGCCAGTGCGCGACTTCCAGGGCTGGAGTTACCTGGCAAAGCCACATTTCAGGAAGATATGGTCCAGTGGCAGTGGCCAGACTGACAGGGTACAGAATAATCAATCACTTACAAAGAATAATTAAGTCACCTACTTAAATATGTACTTACACACGTACATACACACCAGGACACAACTACTACACTAGTAACAATATTATCACAGACGGGGCGTGAGATGGGAACCGAACCAAGGAGGGCAGTAACTAGAACAGAAGCGTGACTACGACACTGGAATACGCCACCAAACAACCACACCTAGTCCTCACAGCTAGCACTTGTAGCTACGACAAACATGTATATAAACAAACGCTGAATTACTTCTCAACAACCCCTATGTGCTGACTCAACTAATCCTCTTGAAACAAAATGCCTTTCTGGGCGTTAATTTGTCTAAACAGGTCCCCGCCTTCACAGGAGTCCATCACCATGTAAAGAGAGTCGTTTTCTACAAGACAGAAACATTACATTTGTCTTTTTAAAGTGCAGCTCAGTAACAGATGTACGCTACCATACATAAAACAGATAAACAACAAGAACTTACTGTACAGCACAGGGAACTACATTCAACATCATGTAATAAACTGTAATGGAAAAATTTTTTTAAAAGATTGTAAAAATGTAACTTTATGTTTAATTGATCACTTTGCTGTACACCTGAAATTAACCCAATAGTGTAAATCAACTCTACTTCAATTTAAAACAGGAAAAAATAAATAAGTAAAATGTACATCAAAAGTATAGCTTTATTAAAGGTACCCAAACATTTACTAAAAAGCAGCAGTTAATTGTGTTCCGTTAAACCAAAAACAGAACCACAGTCAAAAGAACGAAAGGGCAGAGTCAAGGAACACTGGTCACACAGACCGAGCAGTAACTTGGGTTAACAGACGATGGCCGTCATGAACGATTTTTCTACCAAGAACACAGCATCCAGGTGGACAGCAGTGTCCACACCGACACAGGCATGTCTGGGATACAGACAAAATGCAGACAGACAGACTCGATTTTGTTTAATAGATATATATCCTTAAAGGTCATCTACAAGAATCCTGTATTTCCACCCATCTGTCAGAGATGGGTGATCCTGGCTGCCAGCTGGCTGACCATGACTGTGCAGCTTTGCGGCATCCACTCAATGACCTGTTCAACAAACACAGTGAGAGACGCTGCACTGAGCTCTGAGGACATGGCAGTGCGGGGGTGTCCCTGTGGTCCGGGGGCGCTCTGCCTTTCCTCCCGCTGAGCACTGGCTGTCACCTGACAGCCGCCCCCCGATCTTGATGCCTGGGTCCACAGGACAAAGGGCTTCCTGATCTTCCAGCGGCAGATGGGACTAGAGGGCACTGCTAACCCTTGTCCCCACCCTTGCTGTCACGCAGGAATGAGACGGCACTACCCGCCCCCACCCCGTAAGGAAGAGGGGCCAGCCCCACTGTTAGAACTCAGAGAACAGCCGCCCAGTGCTCACTGCTCCTACTGCCTTGTGCTGACGGCCTGACGCCCAGCAGGACTCACGTCCCGCGTCTGGTGCTGGTCTCGTTGCCCGCAGTGTCACAGGCACCTCAGACATACTCCTTCTGATGTGCCAGGGGCTGGGAACCTGTGTGACTGAGCTAATTAAAAATCCGGAAACTCTTTATAACTGACATAAAAAGGTGATCGAAATACACACGTGAGAAATCACTATGTGAAAAACACAAAAACCAGCAAACTGTACAATCCACTACTTATAACATAGACACAGAATGCTGCCACAAGAAACAAGACAAAAAGTTATGTGCAGTGTGCTGTTGCTTCTGCGTGCTTATTAGTGCTTAGAGAATTTCTGGAAGGAAACACAGACAGCATAAACAGGGGTGACCTCCAGGAGAGAAAAACAGGTGGCCCACAGGCAGAAATAGAAAGCTAACATTTTACTGTCATTTAACCTCTGGATTCTGTACCGTATGCATGTATTAAAGACCAAATAAAACTATCAGAAGATCTTTTTTAAAGATGAGTGTGTGTGTCTGTGTGAGAGACACAGAGACAGAGACAGGGAGACAGAGAAGGTTAAATAGGACCTGAGAAAGGGACAGGGAAGTGATCCTGATGTAAAATGAGCTCTGCAATGTTTTCCCATGCCTAAAGAAAGCATTTGTCAGTTATGTGGGGATAAATACTAGTCAAAATGTAAGGTTAACAGGAAGGTCTTTTCTCTGTGAGGGAAGTACTCATCTGTCTTGCGTTCCTTCAATCATTCAAATAGCTGAGGGCCAATTACATCCCAGGCGCTATGCATGAGAGGCTAAGGGACATTAGAATATAAGACACCACCCCTGTCCCCAATGGGCTCACAAGGTATTGAGGAAACACCCTCCAAAAAAAAACAAAACAACTGCCACCTAGAAACTGCTTGAAACTGAAGCAAAAAGCCTGCCAGGCAAGTGATGACGCCTCAGTGCCTGTTAGAAAATGACTGAGAGGTTAACAGAGGACAGGAGCCGCGGCCGCGCAGCAGGGCACGCACGGCCGGCTGGCTAACCCTGCAACGCTGATACTTTTCTCCTTTCGCCACCTCTCACTTTGAAAGCCAAAAAAAAACCCAGATGAGGAGAGATAAAGGAAATTCAAGGTCCTGGGAAGGACCACACGGTGAACACCGTACTGCTTCACATGAGGTATGAAGCCTCATTGCACTGTCATCATAAAGCAAGCAAGCACACTGAGCAGTTTACGACACAGGCTGTTAACTCATCACGTACTTTTTAAAGTTCGCTCTACTTTAATAGATACCAAGTTTATTCGGGAATAGAGATACCTTAACTCAAATTCAGACGCTGAAACTGGTGATGTGACCCTGAAACACTCACTTAAACTGTCTTCTACTTTCAATCTAGTTATCTTTCAGCTTTGTAATTAACAGGGATTTATGATAATCATGGGGGTGACTTCAGCAGGATTTCAATAAACCACCCCGACCTGCTTTTAGAGAAGCCGTCTCACCTTAGTTTCCGCATTACCAGATATGACGGCATGTGATTTCAAAACAGCAATGCTTCGTAATACTTAACAACCGAGAAGACTCTCCACGTACCTCAGTGTTATAATAACGAAGTACACGGAACAACACTGACCAGCAGCATACCTTCTAAAGACCAGGATGTTTTCTCAGTGGCAGTGGTGGTAGCACGTAAAAGGAGTTTGGGTTAAAAGTTGTAAACGACTCGGGGGGAGGGTATGGCTCCAGTGGTAGAGCACATGCTCAGCATGCACGAGGTCTTGGGTTCAATCCCCAGTGCCTCCATTAAAAAAAAAATTAAGTAAGTACTTCTAATTAACTTACCACCACCACCCCCGAAAAAAAGAAAAAAAACCCTAAACGTTGTAAATGACTGTTCTTGCTTTGTCCAAATTCTCGCACTCACCACGCTGGCTCATTTTAACCCTAGTGAGCGAGCCAGTGTGAAGCCACGCAGGGACAGTGTGCTGCCAGTGTTACTCAAGAATCAGCCGACACTCACACGCACAGGTATGGAACCAGAAATGATCTACTTTTCCTCCTGAGACTAACTCACAAAATGATTCCTTGAAAGGGAAGTACACAACAGTTGTCAAATGGCTTAGGAGATCTTTTGAGCCCTCCTGCCAAACTGATCTGACCTCGAAGGACACCCCGTACTGGACGATGTCTGGATGCTTCATGTTAGCCAGCACCGCAACCTCTGTTTGATTCTTCCCTTTCCTTATTGGACACCTGAAACAGGAGGGAAGAGGAAACAGTCAATGGAACCATCTACACGCAACCTAAAGTCCATTAAAAAGAGAGTGGTTACAAATAAAGCTACCAATAAAGAGAGTCCAAATAGTAAGAAGCTGAAAAGAATGAGTTGAATCCACAAGACATTTTAAGGTGTTCAAATTAGATTAAGTTTCAGAACAGTAGCTGCTGCATCTTTTTTAAACACAAACATAGCACACATCATAGAAAAAAATCTGAAAGGATTTACAAACTATTCTGAAACGCTGGTTCTCTCTGCGATCATGACAGTCTTTCACTTTAGGTTATGTATTGCCATATATTTTTTTGAGAGTCTCTAACAATGAGCCCTTTTGTAACCAGGTTTCTACTTGAAGAACCAAAGGGAAAACATACTTACCCTTGAGATGTTAATTTCATTGATAACACACTGCCTGCCATCTTCTGTGGATTTAACAAGAACGGCTTTTCCGAATGAGCCTTCTCCAAACTTCTGTCCTCTGACATATCTCTCCATGGTTCTTCTAAGGCATCTTAACGATGTGCTAGACATCACAAAGGAAAAAAAGAGTAACAGTGAACAGTGATTAAAGCATGTCATCCGTAACAATTATAACAGTTAATTCAAATTCTAATTCCTTAGTGATTTGGTTTCTTAAAAAAAAGGTACATAAAATCTTTACTGAAAGTTAAATAAGCTTTATTTCAATTTTACTCATGCAACCTAGAAATATGAAAAAAGAGAAAAAAAGAGGCATTTCAATTTTATCAATTTTATAGGAATACCCTGGAAAGTCAGACACCACACATACCTCATGTACCTGGAGAAAGCAGCAAACCTTTTCCCACATGAACTAATTAGCCAGATTGCTTTATTATCTCCCCTAAGAATACAAGCTTAATAAGAGTATTTCCTAAAGTTATGTAACTAATCCCCTCTTACTAGACATTTTAGGTGTTTACAGTGCTTGCTATTATAAAAGGACTTCAGATGAAATTTCTGTACATTTTTATGCACTTATTATAAAGATTTCCTTAGGATAAACTCCCAATTCAAAGAAGAGGCACCTGCTAGTTTCCAACCGTACTGCTTACCTATCTCACAGAAATGTTTTCTAACTAACATTCTGATCAGCAGTGAACAAAAAGTGCCTGCTCCATGTACTCCTTTCACATTGGTTATTATAATCTCTGAGAGGCAATAAAGGCTAACAGTTAAAGCACTAAAACCTTTGAGTCAGGGAGCCTGGGTTTAAATCTTGGCTTTGACACTTTTTTCTTACGTGACCTTGGACAGTCACTCCTTTCTAAGCAGCTCGGTCTGTTCACCTGTGTGATGTGGGCAACAACAGCTGACTTCCAGAAGCACTGGAGGACTGGTCAACGTCAGCACGGCGCTGAGCACAGCCCTGGCGCACGGGAACCCGGTGTCACTGTCTGTTGTTACTGTTACTCACTGCCTTTGACAGGGGAAAGAGAGCCTCATTTTTATGTGAAGCTGTTTGGCTTACCAATGAATTTGAAAAATTCTTCTACATTTATATTTCTTCTCTTTTGAACTATTTATTCAGGTTTTTTGTCCATTTCCTACTGGGATGGTCTACTTTTTATTAGTTTGTAAAAAGGCTTCTTCTTTAATGAAAATGTTAGCCCTTTTCTATCAAATTTTTTTGCTTATATGTCATTTGCCTTTCAATTTTATTTAAATATAAGTTTATTTTAATATGAACAATTTATTAATTTTTCACACACACACACTGGAATATTACTCACCCACAAAAAAGAATGAAATTTTGCTATCTGCAACAACATTGATAGATCTACAGAGAAAGACAAATGGCATATGACTTCACCTATCCGTGGAATCTGAAAAAGAAAACAAATGAAGAAACATAACAGAAGATAAACAGACTCATAGACACAGAGAATAAACTGGTGGCTGCCAGAGGGGTGGTGGTTGAGGGATGAACAAATTAGGTTAGGGAGATCAGGAGGTACAAACTTTCAGCTCTAAAATAAATAAGTCATGAGGATGTAACGTACAGCACAGGGAATACAGTCAACAGCACTGTAAGACCTCTGTGTGGTGACAGGTGGTAACTAGACTTGTCATGGTGATCACTTTGTAATGCATAAAAAAATCAAATCACTGTGTGTGCACCTGGAACTAATACAATAAGTCAGCTATCCTTCAATGAAACAATAAATAAAGTATAAATAAATGATGTGAAAACTACTGATGCACTTAACTTGCTCTTTTCTACTTCCATCCCATAGCAACCAGGCTTTCTATGTAGGATTCCCTTTTAAAAGGAGAAAAATGGGTTTGTCATGAAGACTGTATTAGATTTCTGAGAGTTTACCATACCTCTCACTGTAAATTAACAAATCCAGGTTCTGTTTTCATCCATTAACAGTAAGTTTAATTTTATTTGACCTCTGAAAAAATGATCCAGTCTCCTTAAATGATGAAATTCATATCCTGAGCCTGTGAGACGAACAGCCAGAACTCTGCCCGTGGTAAAATCATGGGATAAAGACGCTTCATAGACATTTGTGGGAAAGAGCCTTCTTCTGCCTTCAAAAACTTTTCTCTTTCAAAATTTCTATAAAAAATGTCAAAGCTTTTATCAACTTTAAAAGAAACCAAAAATTAACTATTACAATAGCACTGAAGCATCACTAGTGAGTAAAAGAAGAAAAATCATTCCAAACATACTTTCAAGCCCACGCTTGGTCAAATGGCATAATACAACAGCTATCTGGGTACCAGCCGGAAGTTAATGATATCTCCAGGACAAAATATATTACCACGCTACTTGGAAAAAGTATAAACTCATCTGAGAAAACTAAATTTCATAAACCAAATTACATTAAGTAATAACCATATAATGTGATTATACAACCATCATTATTCTGTGATTATTATACAACCATCATTATTCTGTGATGTTTGCCAAGAAAGAAAAACAAAAGTAGTCCATTTGACCCTCCCTCCAAATTTAGCTGCCAATTCCTTTTGAGGGGCCACACTAACAAGACCAGAGGCTGTACACTGAGTTCTACCATCTACACATTACTAGCAGTGTGTTCCATTGCCTCAGGGAAGTGGGAGAGGATCCACTGCCCTGGTAGGAAAGAAAGATGACCCTAATTGTCACCAAATAATGTCCAGTGCAGACACCTTTCTGAACAATGAAAGACCTGTGGCAGGTGAGTTTCAGAGGAACCAACAATCCCTCCTTTTCTGCAGCATCTACACGAGACTAGTACAGGACACCAGAGGAAGAGAAAGAGAAAACATGAGAAGACGGATTACTTTCAGGGTTTCGCAGCATCTCTAACTAGGAAGGTACTTACTTCCTAGTCATGAGACTTCTCCACTAAATTACAATCTTGGATTTTTTGAACCAAATGAAATAAAAGGTAACAACAAATGTACTAAAGGCTTACACAACCAAAATCATCATAACATGTAACTGAAGACACATGTGAATGCTGTTCTAAGTTCATTACTGTAAGAAATCCCAATTATAAATAAATATCCTTTCCACACTTCTGCTTCTAACATCAGGGGAAATCACTATACCAGCCTGCCAGTATCTTAAGGTCTCTAACAATTTCCAAATGCACAAAAATTATACCTATGCAGAGTTATCCTCTGCGGCACCATTTGAAATGGCAAAACTTAAGTATCCATAAACAAGTCAAAGAGAAAGAAGCAACATTCACATTGATATGGATTCATTTCTAAGTATCAGAATAAAAAATGACACACTATTATTTCCATAATAAAAGGAAATAAATTCGTGTATGTTTACACCTACCTTTACTTACGTGTGCACGCATGTATGTAACCCTTACACTTATACAAACACACGCAACTGCCTGTGTACGTGAGCAGTATCCCTGCAGGGATACACAACAAACTGGTAATACTGGCTGCCTTCAGGGAGGAGAACTGAGTGGTCAAGAAGATTTTTCAATCTTTTGTACCTTCTGAATTGTAAACAATATGAATGTATTACCTATTCAAAACAATAAAATTTAAATTTAAAAACAATAATAAACACTGATAAAAAGAAGCAGGAAGGATGCTAGCTACATCAATTCCTTGGTTAACATTCTTGAACAGTCCCCCATTTCCAAACTTCTAACCCTGACATTCAAAATTTTTCTATACAGTATCATTCAAGTATGTCAACTATGCTCCAGAAAAGAGGTCTTAGCCTCTAGTCAAGTTAGATACCCTTCCTCACATTTTACTAACACTGTCCGTAAGCCACACATAAACAATGTTTGACATAATAAAATTTTCTACACCACAGATGAAAAATGTCAGAGGATATGGATGAAAAACAGTAACCTCACCAATCTGGGATGTGAGCCTCCTCAGCTGTTTCAGCTATCGGATGGACAAGCAAGTTGTCCTGAAGGGAAACACTGGGAAAGAACAGATTTCAAAAAGTCCTTGTGGTACTGCATGCAACTACAGTCCATACATACAGTTCTCCCCAAATAATAAACACCATTTGGGATTGTGGGAGAGGGTCAACTTATCTCCTCAGTGAGGACAAGTTCCTGCCTTATTTCTCATCATTTGAGAAAGAGAAAACAGGATTCCTATTAGACTTTTTTTCAAAATATTTGATTTTCTTCTCTGTTACGTCTTTTCCTCGCTGTCAGACTACTCAGACAACAACTAACAGCTTCCCTGGTGGAAAGTATCAAAGTGTAAATAACGGGTTTATGTTCCCGAAATGGTGTCATGTCAAGACTCAGATTAGAAGGTAGAAGGTTAGACAGAGTAAAATGTACCTGGAACACAATGTCAATGCATTATTAAAATGACCTCAAAAGAACTCCTGTGGCCAAGTTCCATAATCTCTTCTAAACTTCTAATGGTGACTCTTGTGCAAAAACCTGTTTTCCCACAACATAGGCTTCTTAGCTTTCACTGAGAACAATGGGCAATCTAAAACCAAACACATCTGAGGATCCTCTAATATCAGACAGACCTAAAGTAAAAACAAAGAACGACTCCTCCTTTGGCTTTCCTCCATCCTCTCTACAATCCTGCATCACAAGAAAAGGCTATCATTAGCATAGAGTGGGTATCACTTTTCATCCTTCGTAATTATTTCTGATGCAACTTACCACGGCAATAAAAAATTTCTTCTTGGGGGTGGATCTTACATTTAAGAATAAAAATTAGGCCTCTATTTAAAAAAGTTATGATGAACTCCAAAAGTAGAACTTTTCATGCCTTACTTACAGAAACTGTTTCAAATTATGGAAACTGGAATGTAGGATTACAAGCTAACCAGTTACCTGCTATTCACTTTCTAAATAAAACGTATATGCAATTTAAGATCGGAGACAATGCATAAGTAATGCAAACAACTTCTTATCAACAGTAACACTTGTAATGTTATTTCAATCTCATTATCGCTACAGCTTTTTAAAGAACGTCCAAGGGCTGCTCAGTAATACATTCCATTCCTTAGAACCAACATTTTAATTTAATGA